ACAGTTGCTTTTAAAACTTTAACATCTTGTTCAGCTGATTAGGTTTTGGACCTGCTAGCTCAGTCATGTCAGCCATTTAGAATGTCTTAAGAAAAGTTAGCGCGCGATAATACTTTGTATCATATTGAATGGTGTTTTTGAGTTTTCATACTTTAACTACTTAGTAGCTTTATAAATAATTTCAGATGTACTTTGCTGTAAAAGCCTACTTTATTGTTAACAGTAATTATATGTGATAATTTTGTAAAAAGAAATCAGTAAAAACTCATAAGGACTTTTTTATTGTCGGCCATTTTTGATTTTTCGGTCCTAAAATCTTGTCTGTGAAGTCTTGTCTGCGCGTTTTCAGGTGAACCGTTTGGTGGATCAATTTCAAATTTTCAGGGATGATTCTTAGTATAAAAATCTAGATCTCATAAGTTTTTTGGCATTCTGGGTAAATGTCAAGGCAGCCATTTTGGATTTTCCGTCCTAAAATCTTGACTGTAAAGTCTTGTCTACTCGTTTTCAGGTGAACTGTTTGGTAGATCAATTTCAAATTTTCAGGAATGATTCTTAGTATGAAAATCTAGAACTGATTAGTTTTTTTGCATTCTAGGTAAATGTCAAGGCAGCCATTTTGGATTTTCCGTCTTAAAATCTTGCCTGTAAAGTCTTGTCTACGCGTTTTTAGGTGAACGGTTTGATAGATCAATTTCAAATTTTCAGGGATGATTCTTTGTATGAAAATCTACATCTGATTACTTTTTTTGCATTCTGCGTAAATGTTAAGGCAGCCATTTTGGATTTTCTGTCCTAAAATCTTGTCTGTAAAGTCTTGTCAACCCGTTTTCAGGTGAACCGTTTGGTAGATCAATTTCATATTTTCAGGGATGATTCTTAGTATGAAAATCTACAAACAGATTTGTTTTTTGACATTCTTGGTAAATGTCAAGGCAGCCATTTTGGATTTTCCATCCTGAAATCTTGTCTGTAAAGTCTTGTTTACATGTTTTTTGGTTAACTGTGTGACGGATCAATTTCAAATTTTCAGGGGTGGTTCTTAGTATGAAAATCTAGAACTGACTAAATTTTTGGCATTCTGGGTAAATTTTAAGGTGGCCACTTTGGATTTTCTGTCCTCAAATTGTGTTGGTAAAGTCTTGTCTACTCATTTTCAGGATAACCATTTCACGGGATCACCACTTGGTGGGGACATTTTGTACACATTTGTGTTCTTGTTGAGATTTGCTACTTCGTGATATTGCCTTTTTTAATTAGTGTGCCAAAAACATCAATAGTTTTATTTGCTGATAACTTTTTATGTCACAACTAAAGGTGGTGACATATTGTTATAGTCTCCATTTTTTGTGGCTTCGGGAGGCAGTTGGCGGTCAGTGGTCAGCGTCTGTAACAAATTCTTACAACTTTCAATAACTTACAAAGACTGTTTATACTTACTTAACATTTTTTCAAAATAATCTTCAAAATCTCAGAAGTTCAAATCTGACTTTAGGTTTTGAGATTCAATGACCTTCTCACGGTCAAAAAAGGGCAAATGGGTCTTTTTTCAACTTGTTTCAAATTGACCAATTTCTTTTCAAAATCATCTACAAGTTCTCAGAAGTTCAAATCTGACTTAAGATTTGTCATTCAGTGACCTTCTCAATGTCAAAAAGATATATCATCTACAAGATCTCAGCTAAAGTTCAAATCTGAGCTGACTTTAGATTTTGAGAAAAAATATTTTTAAAATATGCCGGCAATGCTGAAATCAATTCTGCAATTGTTTCTGAAATGGAATAAATGAGTCTTCAATGGTTTCTGAAGGTTAACAGACACCATACATACAGTACTAGGGGTCTATTTGAAAATTATACAGTTTTCAGGATAATATTCAAAGCAACAATTTCACCCAGATATTGGTCAAGAGGGGGAGAAACCAAAAGGTTCAAAGATGTTGTATGTCTATAATGTAAATCTGTATTGAGATGATCCACCATCCTGATTGGTCCAAACCGACAAACAAAAATGTCGGATTCAAAATTTTTTTAATAACGCTTTGAATAATATTATGTTAATTTCTGGTGTGTTAACCAATATCATAGCTTGTTATTTCACAGCAAGATAAAGAAAGATGTAAGGCATGTGGTAACATCAATTAAAACATCACGACGACGTGTTATATTTCAAAACCTAACTAGTGAGAATTTATGCAAACGAAGGTGATATGCAAAAGACTTAATATCTCTGTCATTTCTAAAGCTCTGGGGGTTTCCCTCCTCTTATATTGGTCATATCAAATAATGGTTCCAGATTGACACCTTATACAGTCATTCAGAGAGACATATGTGTGATGCTTACATTATTGTAAATTTTATTATATTTCTGACAAAAATTGAAGCATTGGAAATGTTGAGACCAACAAGGAAGATAAGACTGGTTCAACATGAAAATAAATGGAACTGGTTGGACGAATTTTGGGCAAAAAAAGATAATTTTCGTTTTGGCCAGGAAGATAAGAAAAGTATTGATCGGAGTCTTGAAGGACATTGAAAATGAAGTTCCTCAATATCTGGGCTCAATCAAGCACCATACTTATCTTCCTTATCACAAATAAGATCTTGGAATAGTTCTCCTTGTTCAGGTAGATATTCCAAAATCACCCCTCTCCCTGATACTGAATCATTTTTCTTCATCTTACTTATTTGTCTTCCATTTGCATTCATTGGACTTCACTTCTTAAAAGGGAGCTTCGTCTTCATAGTTTATAACTATAAGCAGGGTATTATTTGTCTTATGAAACTTCTAATATTCCCTCCATGTCTGAAAATAATTTCAGAATATACTGAATCCCTAACCCATGTGTTTCTCTGATAGACTTAAATAATATGTCAATCTGGTACTTTATTTTGAGGCATGACAAAAATCAGTAAAATTGTTGCAAGCTCCAAATATCATCTTGAAATCTACATATTTTGAAACAGATCATATTTGTTTACCTTATTATTCAGAAACCTCTAAAGATTTGTTAATCCCATTTCAGGAACAATTGCAAAAATGATTCCTACACTCCCTGCAAAATCTTTTTTTATCTAAATCCAGGGCCGTCAGATGGGGGGGTGCGATGGGTGCGACCGCACCCCCCTTTGTCACCCCCCAAAATAAATTTGAAAAAAATGAAAAATATTTTTTTTGTAATTTTTTTTCATTGACTCATACACTTTGAAAGTACCCAGAAAGCACCAAATAGCATCTTAAAATTGTAAAATTTTCTAGGGGTATTGGCCACCCCTCACACCCCCCATAAAACAATGGAAAAGTTTAAATTTATTTTAGAGTTTTGTCTCAGACACTTTTAAAGTGCCCAGATATCATCAAATAGCTCCTTGATATAGTTAGTGTTTCTGGGGGACTTACTCCCCCTCTTGCATCTTGCACTTGCATACCCCCCCCTCCCCTCTGGCACCCCCCCCCCCCTTGATCCCCCCCCCAAATTTTTTTTGATTTTCTCAAGTTCTTTAATTGACACATACACTTTGAAAGTGCCCAGAAAGCACCAAATAGCGTCGTAAAATTGTAAAATTTTCTAGGGGGAGTGGTTCACCCCTCACACCCCAAACAAAACAATGGAAAAGTTCTGAATTTGTTTTATGTATTGTCTCAGACACTTTTAAATTGCCCAGACATCTTCAAATAGCTCCTTGATAAAGTTAATGATTCTGGAAGACTAACACTTACTCGCCCTCTGGCATCCCCACTCCACCTCCCCCTCTGGCAGCCCCCCTCCCTTAACACCCCCCCCCCCCAAAAAAAATTGAGATTTTTCAAATTTTTTTTGTTGACTCATATCCTTTGAAAGTGCCCAGAAAGCACCAAATAGCATCTTAAAATTGTAAAATTTTCTTGGGAAATAAGCACTTTTAGGCACAGACACTTTTTAAGTGCCCAAACTTCATCGAATAGCACCTTGATTTTGTAAATTTTGATATGGGGGACAAACACTTGCCCCCCCCCAGCCCCACCTCCCCCTCTGGCACCCCTCCCCCCTTTGACAACCCCCCCAAAATTTGAAAAAAATTGTGATTGTTTTTCAATGTTGACTAATACACTTTAAACGTGCCCAGAAGCACCAAATATCATCTTTAAATTGTAAAATTTTCTAGGAGAGTTAGCCACCCCTCACATCCCCCACAAAACAAAAGAAAATATTCTGAATTTCATGTATTGTCTCAGATATTCTTTAAGTGTACAGACATCAAATAGCACCTTGATATGGTCAATGTTTCCGGGGGACAACCCCTTGCTCCCCTACTGGCACCCCACCCCACTTCACCCTCTCATCCTTTTTGACACCCCCAAAAGAATTTGAAAAAAATTCACATTTTTCTTATTGACTCATAATGCACAGGCGTACCAGATGGTTGCAAATTCGCTCCAAATACAACCAAATTTCAAAATTTTCCTGGGGGAGAACCCCCGGACCCCCCTGAATGCTCAGTTTATTATTCACTCAACTCTTATTCCTGTGGTGGTGGCGTACTACTTAGAAACTTACACTTTGAAAGTGCCCAGAAAGCACCAAATAGCATCTCAAAACTATAAAATTTTCTAGGGGGAGTGGACAACTCCTCACACCCCCCACAAAACAATTGGAACGTTTGGAAGTTGCATGCATTTGTTAATTCCAAACCAATACAGGGAGTAACTGACCCCCCCCCCCCCCCCCCCCCCCTCTGTCTTACGCGATTTGATTTACGCGGCAAAAAATTTATATTCTCTTAAGCAAAAAACCGCACCCCCCTTGGAGAAAAGTGTCTTACGGGCCTGAAATCTAAGCATGGATATTTTTGGGCTCACACTGTAGTTCAACCAAGATATCTTTTTTATACAAGTATATTGATAAAACATCCAGTATTGCACTACCTCTTAAGTCAAATATAATCAGTATTTTCTAAGAAATTGGTTGCAGAAGTTCATATAAAAATGCCTGTGAGTATATATCAGTCTTTTCATTGCAGTTGAAGTGTTGTGGAATCGACAACTATGGAGACTGGGACAAGAATGAGGCCCTCGGTTGCAAGGGTAATGGCACATGTAGTGTTCCTGACAGTTGCTGTAAAGAAATTGTGGTAATTACACATGTTTTATTTATATAGATATTTTATATTTTTCAAATAAACATCAACGATGCGTAGCTTCAATCGGAAGAAGAATTACTACATGTGAATGGCTTCGTAGGAAAGTTAACTGAATGTCCTTCACCCCGTCATCAGCAGGCATCTCAGATCTCTGAAGAACACCACTTTCGTTCCTCTTGACCCAGAGCTACCGTGAGCTGCCATGGCGCCTACTGCTTTAACTGCTGACTCCAGCTTAGATGGTCTTAGTCTTAGCTGAGATTGACGATACTGCAGTGAGAAGGCTGGGAACCCTCTACATTCCACTTCTATTGGATACTACACTGCATGTCACCCCTTTGCCTTGTCTACTAGATCTTGGTATTTGACTTTCTTAAGCTGGTGAGATATTTCAAGTCAGTCTTCCCAGGGCACTGTGTGCTCGATGATGATGATGGTTCCGCTGAACTGTGATATCAGTATGTCAGAACGGAGCTTGGTAAATGCTATCTCTTGTGGGAAGACAACTTTTTGGAAAAGGTCAGTTCTCAAGTTGCCTTGGTAAGAATTCAGTTGCCTTGGTAAGAATGTTAGACTGGAGTACAGGTTGAGATGGCTTCTGCTGGGCCTTGTTTCCTTCTTTGACAAACTTAGTGAATCTTGGCCTTGCACTACCTCCACTGGTGTTATGGGGAATTTTTTGCTGGTCTACCGATTTGGCAATCTCTTGGAGGACCCTGTCTGTATCTTCCCTTGCCAATGGCTTTAGGGCAGGCAGCTGCTGCGAATATGGTTTAATATACATTCAATATACAGTAGACTAATGTGTCATGTTTTGATACAATTGTCAATAAAAGAAATATAATAGTCATAGAGTTGGCTGTCTCTTCCTTGCCCCAAGATCTGAGATTTGATAGAGATGGTAGCAGGTCAGAGAAGGCTCTTAATAAGAAACTGAGTCTTCCTTGGTCCATATGTCCTTCCATTTCAAGGAGCACTTCAGAGCAGGTTCCCAGTTGTTTCAACTTCCCTGCTTAGCAAGGCTTACATCCTTTACTCATCTGTCTTCCTCTGCTTTGTCTTGTATCTTTTTGGTAATCTGGGCTCTCCTAGTCTTGTTGGTCAACTGATGGGGACCATAGTGCCATTTTCCCTTGCAAACAGTTCCAACAATCTGTTTGTCAGTCAGTCATCCTGTGGTTTCCACACTCTTCTGCGAGAAAGCCTGTCACCAGTTCTCCTGGCTTTTGTGCCTTTTGATTGCTCTAGAGTCATGACTTTGGTAGCCTTGAACTCCTCCAAAACTGATGTCACTGGTAAGGAGAGTATGGAAGTAGTGCTGTACAGGTTGACAGAGTTGAAGGTAGGGGGAAAGCCTAGCCATTTCCTCAGGTGCTTCCAGCATGTCTTCTCCATGGCCTGGACATATAATAAGGGTATATCGTACATCTGGAAGGACCATTGCAGCTGAGGAATAATGCCATACTGAAAGCACCATATCTTGAAATGCCCTAACATATGACTGAAGTCAATGGCTCTCAGCCACTTGTATAGGTCTATTGCGACTTCAGGTGTAATTCACATCTTTTAAGGTCTTGTCATAGTTCTTCTGATTCTTTGGTCTTGCACTGTAGATATAGGGGGAAGGTTTCCCATCTACCAATACCATGCTTCTTGACTTGGTGGGTTTAAACTGCATTCAGGCCCAATTTCCCATTCTTTCTAGAGCTGACAGAACCAATCTGGCACCAACTGCTGAGCGAGTCATAACAGTAATGTAGACTATGAAAGCTGTACATGGGGGGTGTCTTGTGGTGTCGTTTGCTTTTGGACCCTTACAGTGCATTGTGTCTGCCATAAGCAGTAAGTTCATAGCATGATACAGTGTAGCCAGCCATTATGCCTCTGCCAGTTGGTGGTGAACTTGCCAACTGTGAAACGCATGGTCAAGGAGTTCATGTTGCCCATTGTCAGGTTGATTACATCATTTGGTACATGGTAGTGAGCTAAAGCTTCAAGTAACAGTTGGTGAGGGACAGTTGGGTAGGCATTAGTGAGGTCCAACTAAACTACTGACAGGGCCTTGTTCCTCTTCTTGCCATCCTTCACTAGTTAACTTATAGCAGCTGTGTCTTCCAGACAGCCTTGGTCCAACTTCCCTGCTTAGCAAGGCTTACAGCCTTTACTTGTCTGTCTTTCTCTGCTTTGTCTTATATCTGTTTGGTAATCTGGGCTCTCCTAGTCTTGCTTTTGTCGATGTCTCATACCTCATCAACATTGAAATCTAACTGGTCAAATGGTGAATTTAGTATATCAGGTGGGATGTTGATTGGGAACTCGCTTAATAGCAGCTCTCTGTCTGGGTTACTGTATGTCGAGGAAATACTTGCTTCCCCTTCCTCCTGTGTGCAGGACAGTCAGCCACTCTTTGGTTTCCCTAGCAAATCTGATGTGAACTTGAGTGGGTTTTCAAAGAAGGCCCTCCTGACTTTACGCTTCTCCCGTTGTCTTTTCCTGAGAGTTTCTACCTTTGCGAAGATGAAGAAGTCTCTTGCAAAGGATCTTCTGGAGTTCTCTGATTCTATCTCATTCACTGGCCAGTGATGAAGCTTTCCATTGACGCTGATGGCTGATCCACTTTTTCCAACGGGCGAAGTGAAGCTTGATCCTGTTATCTTCTACTTCTGTCTTTCTGATGTTTCACAACTCCAAACTTCTCTTCGCAAGTTTCGTAAACAGTGCTTGCGTCTCCTCGCAAAGTGTTTGTGAGGATAGTGTCGAGCTCCTCGTTAAGTACTATCCATCGCTTGTTGGTTGCTGCAGATAACTTCAGTCTGGGCTTCCTCTCTTGAACAAGGTGTTTGACCAGGCTGGGGAAACTCTGGATGATTAGATTCAACGAGAAGGTCTGGAGCACTGTGGTGTGTCCCCTGGCTACAAACCTTCACAAACTCTACAGCCTTGGATCGCTTTTCCTTACACTGTGTTTTCCCTTGATGTATTTTCACCCCTTTCTCTCTCTTGAAAGTGCCTCCGCAGCTTCCACACCATCTTCTTGTCTCTATTGCGTCAATGTCTTCCTGAATCCTAATCATAGTCCTTAATTCGTTGCTTTGGTCAAAATCCATATCTTCTGTTGGGTGCATATCATCCTCCCCATCTTTCAGTCTGCTTAGAGGCATTCTCTCATTTGATACTTGTAGCTACTGTAAGTTTAGATGCTTCGGGTGCTGGTCTGGCATCTGTGTTGTATACAGATTTAGGAAACTAAAGTATTAAGAAATATGTCAATGGTGTGAAAAATCTAGAAATCTCTGAATTATTTTTTCCATTTTTATGTCACCTCATCAATAAAATAATAACAATTTAAAACAGTCAATTTATCATTTAAATGTAAATAAACACATTAACTTGGTTCATATGTTATGACATTTTGATTGATGGACATGCAGTAATTTTTTATTATCTTTTCTTTTTTTTACTATTGTAGTAATCAAATACAGTAACCTTTGTTGTAGGAGGACTGTGGGAAAAATGTAAGACAAAATTACAGGGTAAGTTGCAATCATTATACATTTCATGATTTATTCTCAAATCCTAATTGACAATACAGGCTATTGTGATGGCCTGATTGGGCCTCGGGAATGATCAAATGTCGAGCATAGTGTAACAAGCCAGATGAATTAAAGTCTGCCGTAATCAAAAAAAAATTGTCTGAGGACAACATTGAAATATTGAGATTATTTTCTGGAAGGGAAATATCATATTGTCACAAGGAATAAACCCATATTTAATCCTGACCAGTAAATAAACTTTTTATCCCATGATATTCATGACTCTCTTCATAAAATCATGAGTTCAAAATCCATATCTGATTTTTGTATGAAACAAATCCAGACTAAATATTTAGTCTTCAAAATATGACTTAACTTCATGACATTTTGAAATTTAAAATTTTTTTGTATAACATAAACACATCAACATCAAAAAAGTTAACAATATGTATACGTAGATGTCTATGACGTTGACTGTCCATGTCAGAGCATGACCCAACTGAACGTAATAGGAAGCTTTGTTTGGCAAAAATTCCTGGGAAGTGAATACAATTTTCATGAGCAGGATTGGGAGGTGAATACAATTTTTGTGAGCGGAATTGGGTTGAGCAATACAATTTTTTTTCAGTATCAAAAATATTCCTGGGTGTTATTTATCGGGAAGTAGTACTGCCATGGGATAAATACATGTATTGACCTGGTTAGTAAATATAAAGTATTATAAAAGTATTGCCATTATTTGATATTGACCTATTTTCTTATAAATAAAAGTATTGCTATTGTTGTTATATTTTAGAGTAGTGCTGATGCAGGTTTGAGGTCCACGATTTATGTGAATGGATGTAAGACTCAGTTCCGCAACTGGGTGGAGACTCATCTTGATATTGTCGGAGCCATCGTTCTTGGTTTTGCGCTACCACAGGTATAAAATGCCACCAATAATCTCATACTATTGAACTGAAGCCAATGCTACATCAGAGGGTCATCATCTCTCAGATAATACTATGTCAATCCAAATCCCCTCAATTCTCATAGAGTCACATCATTAATCTCTTAAATGCCAGAGCCATTTTAGTGAGAAATACTTTGACAGAGATATCCATTACTCTAGGTATTCAAGGGGTTTAATAGAAGTTTTTATTTTGAATTCATAGAGTAGCTCTTTTATTTTGGTTTCTGCAGTAGCTCATAATAGGAAAATGCAATTGGTTATTAAAGATATTTTCTTATCCTATAGAATTATATTGAACAGATAAATATTGAAAATGAAAGTAAACGACAACAAAAAGTGAGGATTTTGAGGATGAAAATTACAGATATTAAGATTCAATTATGGCATTTGTGGTAAGTTCACAATATACAGTATAAGCATTACTGAACTTGGGTAGTTGATTGAAGTTGACTTTATTAAATGTGTATTGCATATGAAAAATCATACATCATGGGTTAACAAAATGCATAAGGTCTTTTCATGACAAATATGTCATCAGGTCATGACATCTAAAGAATCAATAAAAGATGTACTGTATACGGTGTATATATTAAACCTCAATATCCAGTTTTATCAACAAAGAAGAGGTCCATTTAACAGACTATTGGTCAACTTAGACTTTTTCCAAAAAACTCATTCTTCCATTTACTTTCAAAACCGATTGCAAGTTGTAGATAAACCTTTTTTCTTGAGGTGTGGAATTTCAAAAATTGGCATTAATTTTCAGTTTCTTTGAAAAATCGGCAGTAAGAACCCCTATCACAAGACTGTCTGAATATGGGTACACACTATGTTTACCATCAAAATAATATCAAAACTTATCATTACATAGAATTTATTATATGGAACATATGGCATACAAGCATTCAGAGTACAACATTAAAAAAATCAAGCTATGTATGAAGTTTACCAATGCAAATCTGGAAAACATTGTCATTTTTGTTCACTTTGTTATCAAGTTTTAGCATGGTGCTCATTTCCTTTCATTGAAAATTTAACCATCAGCCCATTCTCCCACAAAAAATATATTGAAACTGTATAATACAGATACTGTAAAGTAGCTTCTCTGCAAATATCATTGTTGTGGGAGTTTGGGCTCACCACTAAAACTTTTGTGATGAAAATTAGGCTGACTGGTTTATGTTTTCAATATGGCTGCTAACCTGGGCAAACATGTACACTACATAACTGCATGTACAGATTAGGCCATTCAAAATTAATTATATGTTGGCATTCTGATGAAGGGCCTTATATTAAAAACTACAAAACCTTTCTTTATTTAAACGGTTTTTATGTCCCCACCACATAGTGTGGGGCCATATTGTTGGCCTAGGCGCGTCCGACTGTCTGTCCGTCCGTCCGTCCGTCCGTCCGTCTGTCCGTCTGTCCGTCCGTACGTCCGGGAGTTTTCTCCAAAACCGCTACAGATATCACCTTAAAATTTTCAGGGATAACTAATGAGTGCATATAGATGTGGATGAAAAAAAATTAACTCGAAACCTACTTCCTGTCGGCCATTTTGAAGTCAAATGCTAAAATCCTTTAATCATACTTTAACTATTTAGTAGCTTTATAAATAATTTCAGATGTACTTTGTTGTAAAAGCCTATGTTATTGTTAACAGTAGTTATATGTGATAATTTTGTAAAAAGAAATCAGCAAAAACTCGTAAGGACTTTTTTATTGTCGGCCATTTTGGAAAATCTTGTCTATGAAGTCTTGTCTGCGCGTTTTCAGGTGAACCGTTTGGTGGATCAATTTCAAATTTTCAGGGATGATTCTTAGTATGAAAATGTAGAACTGATTAGTATAAAAATCTAGATCTCATTAGTTTTTTGGCATTCTGAGTAAATGTCAAGGCAGCCATTTTGGATTTTTCGTCCTAAAATCTTGTCTGTAAAGTCTTGTCTACGCGTTTTCAGGTGAACCGTTTGTTAGATCAATTTCAAATTTTCAGGGATGATTCTTAGTATGAAAATGTAGAACTGATTAGTTTTTTGGCATTCTGGGTAAATGTCAAGGCAGCCATTTTGGATTTTCCATCCTAAAATCTTGTCTGTAAAGTCTTGTCTACGTATTTCCAGGTGAACCGTTCTGTAGATCAATTTCAAATTTTCATTGATGATTCTTAGCATGAAAATCTAGATCTGATTAGTTTTTTGGCATTCTGGATAAATGCCAAGGCAGCCATTTTGGATTTTCCGTCTTAAAATCTTGCCTGTAAAGTCTTGTCTACACGTTTTTAGGTGAACCGTTTGGTAGATCAATTTCAAATTTTCAGGGATGATTCTTAGTATGAAAATCCAAATCCTAATTAGTTTTTTGCATTTTCAGGGATGACTTGTAGTATAAAAATCTAGATCTCATTAGTTTTTTGGCATTCTGGGTAAATGTCAAGGCAGCCATTTTGGATTTCCCGTCCTAAAATCTTGTCTGTAAAGTCTTGTCTACGCGTTTTCAGGTGAACCGTTTGGTAGATCAATTTCAAATTTTCAGGGATGATTCTTAGTATGAAAATGTAGAACTGATTAGTTTTTTGGCATTCTGGGTAAATGTCAAGGCAGCCATTTTGGATTTTCCATCCTAAAATCTTGTCTGTAAAGTCTTGTCTACGCATTTCCAGGTGAACCGTTCTGTAGATCAATTTCAAATTTTCAGGGATGATTCTTAGTATGAAAATCCAAATCCTAATTAGTTTTTTGCATTTTCAGGGATGACTTGTAGTATAAAAATCTAGATCTGATTAGTTTTTTGGCATTCTGGATAAATGCCAAGGCAGCCATTTTGGATTTTCCGTCTTAAAATCTTGCCTGTAAAGTCTTGTCTACACGTTTTTAGGTGAACCGTTTGGTAGACCAATTTCAAATTTTCAGGGATGATTCTTAGTATGAAAATCTACATCCGATTAGTTTTTTTGCATTCTGCGTAAATGTTAAGGCAGCCATTTTGGATTTTCTGTCCTAAAATCTTGTCTGTAAAGTCTTGTCTACCCATTTTCAGGTGAATCGTTTGGTATATTCAATTTCATATTTTCAGGGATGATTCTTAGTATGAAAATCTAGAAACAGATTTAAGTTTTTTGACATTCTGGGTAAATGTCAAGGCAGCCATTTTGGATTTTCCATCCTGAAATCTTGTCTGTAAAGTCTTGTTTACATGTTTTCTGGTTAACTGTGTGACGGATCAATTTCAAATTTTCAGGGGTGGTTCTAAGTATGAAAGTCTAGAACTGACTAAATTTTTGGCATTCTGGGTAAATTTTAAGGTGACCATTTTGGATTTTTTGTCCTCAAATTGTGTTGGTAAAGTCTTGTCTACTCATTCTCAGGATTACCATTTGACGGGATCACCCATTGGTGGGGACATTTTGTACACATTTGTGTTCTTGTATATATTATTTAATAGTGAAAACGCAATAACACATAGTAGAAAAGCAAATTACATCTCTTGATTCAGATGACCTTGTTAATGAAGACAATACTAAAGCTTATATACATGTAGTTTTTAATCAATCTTGGAGCTCATTTCAAAACAATATAATTCATGATCACAATTCCCTCTGTCATTTATATGCATTACAAGTACAGAGTACATGGGGACATTTTGTTTTTTCTGAAAACATAGAATTTAGTGACATTAATTATAAAAAAATTTTGAATGGCCTAAGTGTTTTTCTAAACAGGGAATAAGTAGAAATTATTTTAGGCAATCTTTTGAGTGTCATGCCATTTATACATGATGCTGCCTTATATTTTATGATATATATTGAAATTCAGATATGGGAACTGTAAATTGGCAAATAACTTTAAAACTAAGTCTCCGTACAGACATTTAATTTCAAATTCCAATGTAGATGCCAATGGGCATTTAAAAATAATAATCACATCCCAACTCTTAAAACATGCTTATATTAGGATACTGTTAGAGTCTCAAAAGGCAACAAGAACATTCATTTTTGAAACAGGAAAATTTAGTCCCCCCAAAAATGCCCATATGGGGATTTATTCTCAAGATTTTCATGTAATTGTCCGTGAGAATTTATCAAAAATATTTTTACTTCCATTCACATGTTTTGTTATCAGTCAAAATCAAAATTAAGCCAATTGCTTTCATTTCTTGTATAAGAAAACGGCAAAATTTTGACAAAAATAGCATCTTTCAAAGTTGACCTTTAAACCACCCTAATGTCAAGGTCAAATGTCTAAATTCTAAGAAATCACATTTTAAGTAATAAGTCATACTTCCTCTTCAATTCCATGTCAATATATACTTGTTTTGTAGGGAGGCTAAAAGAGGGGTTTACCGCCACCTGTCCTTTTAAACTTGCTCCAGGGTGCCATTTTCCTTGCTACTTTAGGAACCATATCTCAGTTATAATTTGATGGAAGAGGAGATAACCCAGAATCCATTGATACATAAGATTGTTCATCTATGAATTCTGGCTTATTCCCCTCTTATGTAAAAGTGATCCATTAAAGTAAGCCTAGAAAGAGAAAGATGTATACATATGTATTACATGCTTATAAGATATTTCAGGTAAAAATATCAAAAAGTACATTGGTTTTTATGTCACCACCAAAATGTGGTGACATATTGTTATGGTCTCCATTTTTTGTGACGGCAGTTGGTGATCGATGGTTGGCGCCTGTAACAATTCTTAAAACTTCCAATAACTTAACAAATACTGTTTAGACTGACTTCATTTTTTTTTTCAAAATCATCTACAAGTTTTCAGAACTTCGAATCTGGCTTTATATATAAGATTTGACCTTCGGTGACCTTTTCAAGATCAAAAAAAGGTCAAAAAAAGGTCTTTTTTCAACTTGCTTCAAATTGACCTATTTTTTTCAAAATCATCTAGAAGTTCTCAAAAGTTCAAATCTGACTTTAGATTTGACCTTTAATGACATTCTTAAGGTCAAAAAAACATTTGACCTTAAATTGACCAATTCTTTTTAAAATCATCTAGAAGTTCTCAAAAGTTCAAATCTGACTTTAGATTTGACCTTTAATGGCATTCTTGAGGTCAAAAAAATATTTGACCTTCTCAAGGTCAAAAAGGTCTTTTTTCAACTTGCTTCAAATTGACCAATTTATTTTTTCAAAATCATCTACAAGTTCTCAGAGATTCAAATCTGACTCAAGATTGAACTAATAATATTGTGAGCAACTAGGTGGTGACATTTTGTAATGTTAATGCCTTGTCTAGCAATGACATAATCAGTGTTATCATTAAATATCGGTTTATAAATTTCAGGTGCTTGGTATACTGATCACATGGCTTTACAAGGTGAAGCTGGAAGACAGGCAGTTCCTCTACAAATACAGGCCAGAGCTATTTACCTAAGATACGTTGCAACATCAGCCTAGCTTATTTGATGAAAGAACACAATTTGGAGGGAAGAAACAACATTTGATAATTTTTGATATTCAATCAGCTTAATCTTCATATTTGTTTAAAGATCATATGCAAGCTTCAATGATATGGGAAAGAGCAGGAGTTTGGAGATCACTAAATGAATGGCAATAAGTAAACTCCTAGAAAGTGCAATTACTGGCTATATCTATTTATCCAGTATTATTATCCAAATGTTATAATCATCCTGACATCAGATATTCAAGCAGTATATTATAGTGCATATTGAAGAGTTAATAGTAAAATGAAATCTTCACAATATCTATCAAATACGGAATACACATACTATGGTGGTCCCATATGTGTACAAATCTGCAAATTCCATATTTGAAATTTAAAATGCAATATCTGAAATTGTGCAATGCTTTATCTGGAAAATTACAATCTCGTCTGAAATACCTCAATCCTATATCTGGATTACTGCAATCCTCCATAAATCTCAGAAATGCACTGCACTTGCCAATGTAATATAATGTGACTAATTAAAAGTTGCAGTTCAAAAATTAGATGAAATACATGAATAAACCATGGCCAACAGTTTTGGCTCACTTATTGGGCGGTTTGAGGATACTGGAAAGAATGAATAAACACAATAGATGGTCATTGTGTACTATTATACAGTGAAACAGCTGCAGATGTTTTCCATAGCTGTAGATGTTTTGTATACAACAAAAGACTCAACACAGCTGAAGATGTTCAAAGTGTACTATAATAGACTTATCACAGTTGTAGATGTTTATAGCTGTAGATGTAACACAGCTGCAGACATTTATGGTATACTATAGCCTAGTAGACTTTTTGCTGCAGATGAAGATGTTTACAAGAGCTATCAGTTCATTATTTGAATCATTAGTATTTAGTCCACTAGTTGGTTTATAGTCCACTATTACCTGCATTATTCATGTTGTCATTGATTTCAATTTTAATTTCAGAATGTACTTTATAACCATTGCCAAATTGAAGTGCCAATTTTATAATATTTCAATGACACAGTACACATATTTGTACAGTTTTTACTTACAATGATATTGTTTCATTTAAATATCAAAAGAGCTGTTTCTTTTTCAACAGTTATACAAGAAAAGATTTAATCCGAACTTCATGTCATACATACCTCTATAAATGTTGGTGTTATTTTTGAATTTTTTTTATCAAACTACTCCCGCAAAAACTACTGTTTTGAAAATGTGAAGTCCTAGTAAACTGAATAGATTAAAATACAGAACAAACTATATCAGATAAAGTTTATATACCAGTATATCAGTATATTGTGATGCCTGTACAGTACATGTACTCTATATTGTGATGGGATGGGATTCTGTTCAGCAGACCCCAGTAATCTTTCATTGTGCCATTGTAATTGGAAATGCTTTATCTTATATTATATACATTTATTATGTCATTTATTATCCCCTGGAACAAAGTTCCAGGGGATATACGGAATACTTTCAGCTATCTATTCATGTACATCCATTGAATGGCATTTGTTTGAACAAGAACTACCCCTGTGCCCATATTGTGTTTATTTTATGGGCCTTTGCCTCATGTGAGTACAAGTTATATTCAAAAGCTGATTTTGAACATGACTGTCAGTTTCAAAATGTATGCCATTTTAGTCAATTTTACCTGTATTTCATTTTGCTGTAAATTTGTTATATTATTCATGTGTTTTGAATGCACAAAAATTATGATATTAATTTTGTCCAAGATCCAATTTTTGTAATATTGTGGCCATTACACACTATTTTAATTTGCTTAATTTGCTCAATAAGATAGCCATTTTGAAAAGTGATGATTTTTGATACTGGTATTGTAAATGATATTTCATCTGCAAATACATGCAACATCGACAAACTTTCTTTTGACAACTAATCTACATGTATGACAGCCATTTTGAGAAATGAATTCTTGCAGAGTTATCTGACACTTATTTTATATTCTATGGGATTTGCCACGCTTTGACGTCGCTGTTATCTAGTGTTGTATTTTATGTATTTATTTGAGTAAACATGTATGTTGAAGTTATTTTCTGTGCTAAGAAAGCATATACTATGTTCTGTATTCAAATTATCTTTAGGTTAGAAATAGAGGTAACAGCAAAAGTTTGGCATTTTGATATCATACTCTCTTGGAACAATAAGCTTTGTTGTTTGAGCTCACAATTATTTTTCATTTGTAAAAAATTACCCTGATACTATTAAAGGAATACTCTCTTCATATGTATATGAACCTTAATTGAGGCTATATGCTGTGGATAATATCTATATACCTATTAACATGTGCATTCATTGAATTTACCTTTGTTTTTTTACAGATTCGGAATTCAACAAACAATTTTGATGATATACTCGAAGTGCTTCCATATATTCTATGAGTGCTTCCATTATTGGTGCTTCACACCACTTTTATCATTGATAGAGGATGATACCATATACTTTATCACTTAGATATGTTTCCTGGCATGTGTTATTGTAAGCCATGGATTTTAACTGCTTTTACATTTGTATACATGTATAGATCTGTTTCATTTTCTGAGTATTGTAGCTTCAGCTGTTCTTGAAATATTCATACTTTCATTATGTAGATAAAATATCAAGGAGTGAATTATTAAGAACATATATGGCTAATTATACTGGTTTTTATAAAATTTGTGTTGTGTTTATTCTTATTTGGAAACCATCTAGGCTATACAATATATCAAATTGTGGGCCAGGGGCTAGGTGGCCCTTGTAGTAATAAAGTAAAACGCCTCTCTGATCTGAGCACTTCTCAATGTGAAACCCTTATATATATATGATATGATATATTAGTTTAAAGAATTACATGATATTGTTTGAAAGGCATCTGGCATCTGATTTCATAATAACTACCTAGTGTCCCAAGCGAAAAAGAACAGTTTGCCATATACTCTAATGCACCACTAAAAGTCTATTAATACTCAACTAGTAGATCATGATCTATAAGTGATCTGATTTTGAGAGATTTTCTTATGTATTACATACTTTATTGATTTATTTTTCACAAAAGTAGTCTATTTTACTAGATCAATATTCATTTTAAGCACATGCCAAGTCTAAGATCTTACTGACATGATTTAGATAGCAGTTAAGCACCCCCTATTTTGAGAAAAATGAGGGGCGCTTACAGGCATCGATGTTTAGTATGAATTTCACCGAAACTTCACACATATAAGGATATATTCATGATCTAGTCAAATCGACATACCTGTTAAAAATCTGAGCCATGGTTGGCTTTTAGGAAATGATAATTGTTTCAGCTCAAAACTGCCACATGTCCGCCATTTCGTCTCTCCATCATGTAATATTATTTCTATATGACGTCATACTAATAAGAAGAAATACATAACAACAGTATCCATAAACAAAATACTTGAATTCTGATCGCAAAATGTCAGTTCTCTGTTCATTGACAAAAGTAACTGATTTGAAGCACATACTACAATATGGGTATTTACAATTAATCGGAGGGAAATATAAGATTTCATTTATAAAAGCAGGATTCTATTTGAAGAGAAAAATGTTAATTCAATACTCATGGGAGCTCCACCGTGTAAGTTAAAATATTCTCCTGCCAGCTCCACCATATAGTGTGACAGAGTTGTAAATGGCCTTATTTGATTATTAACTGGTAATGACCATATTTGTGTTAAGCTTGGAAAAAGAAAGGTTACATTAACATTGGATTGATTTGATTATTGTTGTTGATTCTGGCACCCTTTGGTTTGTTATGATATCAGTTGTGTTCCAATCAAGGCTAATTTATATAAAAAACCTCCTACCTCATATCCACCTACTCACGTACGTGGGACATGATAGTCTTTGAAGGGTTCAATTTTAGTTTATTAAATCCTAGTTAAGGGTTTGTAGAAAAAATTGGGTACCGGGAAGTAAATCCTCCATGCTGGGTTCAAACTTGGTACCCGGTCGAAAAAAACGGGTACCCAAAAAACGAAAAATATGAATAGATAACATAATTAGATCATTAGAAAACGTGTAAGATTTGTTTTGAATTTACAAAAATGTATGTAACTTCCTTCAAAATTGAGCTAGAAACTTCAAATAAAAAGAAAGTACTGTACGCCCGGTATTATTCACGAGCTTTAATTTCGCGAATTTTGCGAAAACACGGTTTCGCGGCTATTGAATTTCGTGAATACTGTATTTTATCGTATTCGGGGATTCCCCAGTATATGATGTCCAATCAAATTGCAGGCTACGATCACGTGAACAATCGTGCGCACGTGCTCTTTCATTGCCGCGCATGCGCATAGTAAAGTCATGGAGTTGCACAGTACTATTGAAGTACTATAACTCGATCCAAACTACAGTAGTAGACAAAACGAAATGCATCAGAGCCCCGGGTAAAAACAAATTCCCGGGGATTTAATTGGCAATTTCGCGACGATAATTTTTCGCGATTTTAACACCCTCGCGAAAAGCGCGAAAGTTAATCGCACGCGAATAATACCGGGCGTACAGTATTTCAAGGCTCTTTTCTTCCTCTATCATCATGGTCATATTTTCATTGGTTATAGGGGTGGGTGCGATCGCACCCCCTCCTGGCTACACCTATGACATTGTAAGACGTAACAATTTACACTTCAGTAGACGTTTCGTCGAAAATTGGGATAACTTAAATTATGATAATCAAAATCTTACACGTTGCATCATGTGAATAATCACACGTCACCTCTCTGCTAAAGTAATGATAGCTATTTACAGATTTAAATCATAATCAAAACAATTCACGTACCAACATACGAACTATTGAAAGTAGAGTAAGATTGATTTGTCCTGTTTTTCAAATCATCTTACAATGTCTAGCCAGGAGGGGGTTCGATGGCACCCCCCCATAACCAATGAAAATATGACCATGATGATAGAGGAAGAAAAGAGCCTTAAAATGCTTTTATTTGAAGCTTCTAGCTCAATTTTGAAGGAAGTTACATACATTTTTGTAAATTCAAAACAAATCTCACCATCGAACCCCCTCCTTCACTCTCTTAACCTGGCAATATACAGAGAGAAGAGAGAAGGATAAAGGTGGGGGGGGGAGTACAGGGTCTTTTAAACAAGACTAAGTAATCCCGATACTCGCTTACAATTTGATATTCAATATGAAAATGTCATACCTTGGTAATCCAATAAAATCTACTGTCTGAATGGTGGTATTGTTAATGACGTGTAAAAAGGGCCATTTTACTTCATAAAGTTTTGCCTACATTGCACTAAAATTAAAATGGTACAAAAATCTTTTTTCTGGCTTAAAGGATGTTAATAACTATCAAGGGCTTAGAAAACAATAAAAATGAGTTTTTAAGAATATAATCAGTAAGATTCTTTTTCATTAATTAAATGCAATAAATAAACTTTTGCTTTCTAAGCGCTTGAATAACGTAAGTGAAAGTATTTCGCCATTGTTAGGAATTCCCCAAAACAAATGTCACAATGAATGTCTCCATACCATCCAACGTTTATTAATGACATAATATTGGTGACGCACTCTTGTGGAAATCAAATGAAATGTGACATCATTTCCTCACAATAATAGCTTTGGAGCTGTAATTCGGGTATAATAAGCATTCTATCATATTGCAATCGATTCCTCATATTAATACAAATATATGATAATAATAATAGTGTATAGTGCTTTCAAGAAATAAGCCCATCGTAATTGAATTGGACATTCCCTCACTTATTACACTGGACAAATCATTTCTAAAATATTATAAAGTAGTGGTCATTTCAACAGCTCCCACCCAATAGTTTAATGGTTTCAGACACAGAAACCTAAAGGAAGAAGAAGAAAATCTTATTAATTTCTGTTTTCTTTACATAGAATGAAAGATGATTATCAACTAATTAAATATAATCAGCTACATGCTGTATTAACTGATTAAAGCTTCGAAAAGGAGTGAAAAACACTTTTATATAGTTATTTACAACCTTATTAAGACATAATTGGATTGTTGAAACCCTTCTCAAAATCGGCTGTTGAACCTTACAAGTCATATTAAGATTTACGATCATTTTCAGCTCATTTTTATTTCGATTTACGGGAAGTAACTTTTCTATGCTAGTATAAATCGGCTAAGCAATATTTAGTGTAGTAGTACCACGTGTATATTTTATTTGGTGGAGTACCACCATTGAACGAAACAAACAAGATGGCGGTTGAAGGAAGTGGATGCGAGGAACCTCCCATTTTAAAGGGAGTTTTCTCCTTGTATCCCAAACTCAAACCACAATACAGAGTTATTTTGAGTGCAGAAGAATTGAAATATTGTATAGACTCTGAATCTAATAATAAAACCAAATGGAACGTCATGAAAATGTCTGATATCGTTGGATGTCATTGCATGAAGGGAAAACAAGAATCAGATTCCAATGCATACTTTTGTGTTTATGGATATCCATTTAAAAAGAAAACTCTCAGCAAAAAATCAGTTAGGAAACGAGTTCCACTGACGTTTACTGTTGATGAGTGCACTTCTCATGATGAAAACCTTAAAGTTGCTCAACATTGGAGAGTTGTTTTCCTTCATCTTTTGAGAGGGATAGTCGTAACAGGTAAGCTTTAGCTAGGCTATCAACAGGGTTTTTAATTCCTGTAGTTGCTCATTTATACATTTATGCGGGCCTATGGTCCTTGCACCTGATAAGTCGGACTGGCTTTGTATAAAATACCTCCTACCTCATACCCACGTATGTTGGACATGATACAGTCTTTGAAGTGTTCAATTTTAAGATCTTAGTTTATTATATCTTTGTTTATGATGCATTTGTAACGATAGCAAGTTGCTACCACAGCCCAGCTGGGTTCTATTCCCACTCAGGGCATCAGATTTAGCACACTTTCTTTCAATTTCTTTATCTGGCTTGTCGGACCTATGCTCGCGGTCCATATCCAGCAATCGTAATGTTAAATCGGACATCACCTTATCTCCTAACTGGTACTATTACTGAGATTTCGTATCAACACTTTAGTCTACTAAATTATTGTTTAAAACTCATATATGTGAGCGTTAATGCAGGGTCATTTCATACAGCCTATAAACACCGCCCTTTCATTAAATGTGTTTTCTGGTTTCCTTAATTTCGCCAATTTCTTAAGAAATTGATGGATAATTTGAAGATTATATGATCAGACACATAAACATGGCATATACCACATAAGTTTCTCATATTTAGTTGTTGTTTTTTAGTTGCTGTTTTTTGTTGAACCATATATTACGTACATGGATAACGTATTTTATTTACAAGTAGGCTGCATCTTGTATAGACCAACATAGCATCAAGTTTCACTAGAGCTGCTAAGAACACTTCTTATCAGATGTGTTGACAGCTCTCCTGATAAAGAAAGTGACCAGAGATTTCTGGATTTGATTAGTTAGTCATTCCCCTGGGGCGCCCTCAGGTCATTACACATTACAATGCACCCATATGCCTTTATTTATGGATCTCTCATCCGTCTAGAGTCCATTTCACTGCTTCATTTCGTCAGTAGAACGGCAAATATAAGAAATTGGGAGACCATTGTGCAATAATATATGGAAAAGTATATTCATAATGTACATTTGTATATCTTGGATTGCTTCTATCTTGGCTTATAAAGTGTGTGGCCTCTTATATTTGGATGTTTCTCTGCCATGTTATTTTCAATAAGATTAACATGGCTGAAATTCTTCAAATTACAAGACGGCACAGGCTTATTGCACAAAAAACTAAAAAATCTGAAATATACAGATGTCATTCATGTACATTATGAATATACGTTTCCATATATTATTGCACAATGGTCTCCCAATTTCTTATTTTTGCCATTCTACTGACGAAATGAAGCAGTGAAATGGACTCTAGTCATAAAATAAAGCAAATTCACAACTGACTTGCCAAATGAATAGGTGCAGTACATGGCAAAATATGTTAGGCAACTAGTATTTTTTTTGAACTGATACGCTTCTAAGATGAGATCTATTAAAAAAGGCGCATCATCACCTATGTGCAAAAGTCAATGTTTTTGCTATAAATCGGGCAACAATGGTCTACACGACCTGTAATAAATAGGTATAAGGGACATTATTATCACAATCATGGACGTAGCGCTATTTTTCTAAGTAGTATGCCACCACCACAGGAACAAGAGATGAGTGAATCAAAAACGATCATTCAGGGGGTCTGGGGGTTCTCCCCCAGGAAAATTTTGAAATTTTGTTCTATTTGGAGCGAATTTGCAACCATCTGGTACGCCTGTGCGTACCCAGCGTACCGGGTGCTACGCCCATGACAATACTAATGACATTGCTCACTTTTTAAAGTAAGATTCCATGCGTTATACAAAAAATAATCGAAATGAATCAATATTAGATGGAGGGGATAGGATGGAGGGGGGATTTGTATGTCTTTACGATGGAACAAATTCACAAGAACTCGTGTATTTGAAAAAGCCAAACTCAGTACCCCAGTAAGAAACTGGATATTATATCTCTTGAGAATGAAAAACTTGGCCTCTTACTTGACTATTTAAGATGTTAAAAAGTAAATAAATATTCAAAATACAGTCAAAGTGATGTCATATTTGAAATCTACATGTAAAAGTACATCTAAAAATATGAAACTTTGAAAATTTGATTTTTTGAAAATGTGACTTCTAGTTCGGGGGATTCCCCATAGACCCCATGTTATAAAATCACAAAAAACTGATATATCTTTTCTTGTATTTTATTGGACAGACATTTTCTTTTACTGGACATATTTTGATTTGCATGACTATTAGATATAAAAATTTAACCATTAAAACAGATATTTAAGTTAAAAGGAACTTTCTACTATACCTGCCACGCTATCTGACCCGAATGAGCCACCTGGTGGTGAAAATAGTAACTATCCACTCGCATCTGAGTTATTGATCACAATTCTAAATTAAAACTGCACTTGTATTTTAATATGCGACGGGTCATGGCTTTCATGAAAATAATAAACCTTTCATCAGCGAAGATTTTGTTCATTTCTAGACCAAGGCATGCATAGACTTAAATATCTTTCAAAACAATAATCAGATCAAAGATATTATAGATTTATAGATTAATCCTGGGACGCCTAGAATATGGTAAGAAAGAAAAGTCTATAATTTAGAGGGACAAAACCAGTAGAATAAAGATGTATTATTTTTGAAAATGAAAACAATGTAACAATCAAGTGATGCAATAATTTTTCAGATTGAGGTTAGAAGCTCTGATAAAAAGCGAAAACTCCACAGTCAAGTTTTTCAGCAGTTGAAGTTTTGGAAAATTAACATTGCATAAAATACACCTGTTGCCTAAGAAAAGCTCAGCTATAAATAAAGGCCTACAGGTGCATCCATGCTTGGTCTCATAATGTACCTAATTAGACTCCAGATGTTGTTTTTGCCATTATTTTTATTCTTATTATTATTATACCAAGCAACTTTTCTCAACAACCATAAGGTCTTCAGTCAAGACAGTCATATGGCGAATTAAGGACCTGTTCCTGGAATCTCGGAAATTGGGTCAAATTTTTATCTAGGTCAAAGGTCAAGGAACTAGGTCATATCTTACACTTCAACATTCTGTCATTTTTCCTCGCAGTTATTTAACGTAAGTCCTTGATCTTTTTTTCATCATGTAGCTTCATCCTCCTAAAGCAGGTATCAAGAATCCGTACCTCCTTCTTCCCCCTGCTGTAACCAATTTGGAAGCGCCCGATTAAACTGAATCACATGATATAACTATGTGTTATGACTCATACATGATATCTGTCGCAGTGTTGCGACAGCCAATCAGATTGCAAGTTCTTAATCGGGGAAATGCTAACTGCTTATCACAGGGGGTAAAAAGGAAGATTATTTTCTGGATTTTGAAGCCCTGTGATCGGAGGATGTGTAGCTTAGAAAAAGCCAAAGCGAGAGTGTGCCATCTGTTTTTTGATTACTCTTACCGATTTTTAATTATGGCGTCCAGAAAGTAGGTCAACACAAAAATTCTCCAAATTCATAGTTTTTCATAGTAATTCATAGTTTTTCCTTATTTTTACGATTCTACACTTTAATAATATTCATCAAAATTTGGTATGCAGATAGCAAAGAATATGGTAATATCATTAGTCATTTGCCGTCAGAGAATATTTTGTCCAGATTTTGAGATATTGTGTCCAGAAAGTAGGTCAAACCAAAAAGTTCTCCTAGTCAGGGTAGAACTTTCTCAGGAATCCGAATCCAAATTTCAATCAGTATGTCCTGTCTGTCTATTCCATCTGTCCAGTCTTTCTGTTCCATCCGTCTGGTCTGTCCATCTGTCTTTCTGTCAACAAAAGAAATTTGTCATCTGGAGACTGAAATTGAACTTGTTCAATTTCCAATGTCTAGTTATTTAAGTTCATCTATATGACACTAAAACACATAGGTATCTCCTGGAGCACTTAGATTTGTACACCCTGCAAACAATGAAAGAAATATGGGTTTCAAATTTAACTATTGCAAAGAACCTTAGAAAATGAATGTTTGAATAGATTTTATTTGAAAACTATATGTTTTCTGGGTAGCTCTATCAGTACAAAAACTGGTCTTCCTTGAGGCGCAGTAATAATTAATTAATATAAACACATACAAATACATATATAGGAAATATAGAACAATATGCATCTTCAAAAGTATGCATTAACATAAAACATATAGAACAACTTATTAAGAGAATTACATGAATATAAAGCAATTTCTTTAAAGATTGCATTGATATCCAGTAGCATGATTGTTTTAATTTGTTTGATCATCTTTAAAAATTGACATTTGGATACATAGCACAAGTACTGGTGAAAATAAGCAATTTTTCAGTATTAAAATGTCCTTTATATTACGAACAACATGAATATTATTTTAACCAAATTATTAAATGAATAAGTACTAAGTGTGACACATTGTATGTTCCACAAATGAAACTATGTGTTCAGAGTCTAGTTATAACCTACCCTCAGCCTCAACCTAGCCCCACAACCTATGCCCAGGCAGCCCAGGACCTAGATCATTTCAAACCTATCGCGCTGATTTTTCTCAACCATACAGTGAGCTGAAAGGTACATGCTAAATGCATGCTCATTAACTACGCGATAACGTCAGAGGAAATGACCATTTATAGAAAGTCATACATATTTCGACAACAAACTCTGAATGGCTTGGTGAGTTCAGAGATTTATTGTAAACTGAAAGAGTGAAGACAAAGCTCTCTTCTAGAAGTGAAGTCAAACAAATGCAAAGGGTGAGGGAACCATTAAAATTCTGAACATTGAAATTATTATTCTGTGCCCTGCTGTGGTGGGAGAAGGCTCATAAGATTAATATGTAAATGAATTGCACTTTGTTTTAGATGTTTCTATTCTCACAGAGCCAATCGCTAGACGAATGCTTGTACTGGTGAACCCATTCAGCGGACCTGGGAAAGCATTGAAGATATTCCAAGAACGTGTCATTCCTGTATTTGCTGAAGCAGACATTCACTTTCGGATGGTCATTACAGGTAAGTTATATTTTATATGTGCTGTCTTCTCTCAGGTGAATTACATAGAGCATCACATTAGTTTGTTACTCAATGGGGCCTTGCAAGGGCAAGTATAAGCTTCTTTGTGAAAAAGAACTGATGCATTCAAACCATGGAAAATGAGGTGTAGGTGATGTCAAACTTGTTTAGCTCATATTCATGCATTTTTATATTTTGAAAATGACATTAAGAATTAAATATCACAAGTTACAAGATGCAACATGATAAAATACCAGTTGAAAGATTTGGTTCAAATTTTACATGCTACTACTTTGGGACAAAGGAGCTCTGCTCAAGAAGAAATTTTTAAGATGGCCACTTATTATCAAAATATGTTTTGTTCAGTGGGATTTGCTACTCCTTGGAGTTGCTGTTTTTCTAGTTATGCCTGTTTATACCATATATTGCTGGTTTTGCTATAGATTGTTGGTTATGCCATATGTTGCTTCTTATGTGTACCATTGATTGCTGGTTTTCCATTGATTGCTGTTTTTAGCTCATATGGTGAGCTATTGCAATCACTCACTTGTCCGACTCTCTGTCTGTCCGTATGTCTGTCAACAATTGGCCCGTTTTAAAACCTCTGTCAATAGGATTCCTGTTTTAAGTTATTTTTGTTCAACATCAATATAGAAAACCCCCCTATGACTCCTGGTTCAAAAGCTCGTCTTTTTCAAAATGGCCACCATTTTTGTCTCTCAAAATTCACTTTTGGACCAAAATTCCATCAACTGGAAAATGCTATTACAATAGAAAAAATTATGGTTTCATCCCTTATACTGTAATGTAACATGTAATGATGACAATGGAAATAATGAAATCAGGTACAATTATCAGCCTAGTCAGTCTGATAATTGAATCCAATAATAACGTCCACCGATCCACATGATACATCATAATTGAATTGCTTCTTTAAAAACGGATATTACATACCATAACCCCAAAAAATATTATAAAACGCGTTGGATTTGTATTTTACTTCACACAGACATATTTGGATACATGAAATAACTATGATTTTTTTGTTCCCCATTAAAAGGTTAAACTATGGCAAATTACACATACCTTCTCACAGGTGTGAGTGATGATACAAATGGTCAAGTCATTTGAAGTCATTTTAGTTATCTATTATAGCTGTAAAAATATCGCCGAATGTGTGTTTATAGCGTAGCTTTGGTTTGGTAAATCAATGAAGCATGATATACACAGATGAGTTAATATAGATTATTTAAACAAAAGTGCAAAATTCTTCCATTGAAAAGTACAGAGGTGGGCACTTATGATACATAACATGTGCATGGCTGTACCATATATTTTGACTTGCCACAGTGTTGAACAATAGATGAAATATTAATATTTGGGGAAATTATTTTTAGTGACCTTGGTAAATATTTCATAACATTTTTATTATGATTTGATTCCATGTTACGAATTATTCCTCAGTGAATGCATCCATTTGGTTGTGTTTTTGTGTTATCCCCCACTTCACGTGGCACAATGGCATGCTTTATTATTAGACTCCAGATTGAAAATCTGGAGTCTATTGCTTTTGCCAGTTTTCTTCTTATTCTTTCTTTCTTTCCGGACACTTTTTCTCAGCAACTAGAAGAACTTACTTTAACCTACTTACATGGCTATTATAGCCCATCAACCTAGTTTCTGGGAAATTAAGTCAATTTTTTATCTAGGTCAAAGGTCAAGAACTAGGTCAAATTTAGTTCAAATCAACATTCTGTCAATTATCTTCGTTGTTGTTTGACGTAACTCATTCATCTTTTTTTTAACATGTAGCTAAGAAAAAAACAAACCGAGAGTGTGCCATCCGTTTTTTGATTACTCTTACCGATTTTGAGATGTGGCGTCCAGAAAGTAGGTCAAACTAAAAAAGTTCTCCAAATTTAACATACGAGCTATGAAATAAGGGTAGAATTTTCTCAGGAATCCAAATCTGCAAACCAAATTCTGATCCGACTTCCCGTTCGGAAGTTATGGCGTTTTGAAAGCTCAAAATCGCTAAATTTGGTGCCCCATGTTAAGTCAATGGGAAAAAAGACTTTTTTGAAGTGTAAAATACGAGATATAGACTGAGTGCAGCTTAAGATAATGAATTCCTATAAAAGAAGGGGACCTCAAAAGCTACTTAGTTTCAATATTTGGTCACCAAAATGCCTAGGTCAAAATCTAGGTCAAATTCATAGTTTTTCCTTATTTTTGCGATTCTTACACTATACTTTGATGATTTGCTTCAAAATTTTCTATACAGGTAGAAAAGAGTGTGCTAATAGTGCTAGCCTTTTGCCGTCAGAAAGTATTCTGGCCCACTTTTGAGATATGGCGTCCTAAAAGTGGGTCAAAATAAAAAATCTCCAAATTTAATGTATGAGTTATGAAATAAGGGTAGAATTTTCCCAGGAATCTAAATCTGCAAACCAAATTTCGATTTGATTCCTGGTTCGGAAGTTATGATGTTTCGAATTTTAAAAAAGTCAATATGATGATATCCCTCTGTTAAATCTATGGAGCTCAAGAAAATTATGAATTGTAAATATACGGGATAAAGACTGGATACAAATAAAATAAATGAAAGTCTACAATAGACGAGGCCCTCCGAAGCTCCTTTAATATAAAATTTGGACACTGAAAAGCCAAGGTAAAGAACTGGGTCAAATCTTACATTTCTAACATTCTGTCAATTATCTTGGTCACTATTCGTCATTATTCCCTTATCTTTTTTTCATCACGTAGCTTAAAAACAGCCCTTTCATTAATGTCACTGTCTTATTTTGATTACTCTTACCGATTTTGAGATATGGCGTCCAGAAAGTAGGTCATCACAAAAAATTCTCAGAATTCAATGTATGAGTTATGACACAAGCGTAGAATTTTCTCAGGATTCGGAATCTGCAAACCAAATTTCAATCCTACTACCGGTTGGGAAGTTATGGCTTTTTGAAAGCTCAAAAATCGCTAAATTTGGTGCCCCATGTTATGTCAATGATAAAAAAAGATTTTTTGATGTGTAAAATGCCAGATATAGACTGAGTACAGCTTAACATTCTGAAAGCCTATAAAAGAAGGGGACTTCGAAGGCTATCTAGCTTTAAAATTTGGACACCAAAATGCCTAGGTCAAAATCTAGGTCAAATTCATAGTTTTTCCTTATTTTTGCGATTCTGACATTACACTTTAATGATTTGCTTCGAAATTTTGTATACAGGTAGCAAAGAGTGTGCTAATAGTGATAGCTTTTTGCCGTCCGAAAGTATTTTGAGATATGGTGTTCGTAAAGTAGGTCAAAATAAAAAGTTCTCATAATTTAACTTATGAGTTATGAATTAAGGGTAGGATTTACTCAGGAATCTGAATCTGCAAACCAAATTTCAATCCTACTTTCGGTCAAAAATTCCTAATTACCTACCTACCTACATACCTACTCGGCTACCTACTTAGCTACCTACTTCTCAGCTACCTACTCAGCTACTTACTCAGCTACCTACTCAGCTGCTTACTCAGCTTCCTTCTCAGCTACCTACTCAGCTACTTACTCAATTACTTAATCATCTACTTACTCAGCATGCTACCCAGTTACTTACTCAGCTACCTACTCAAGTAAATCAATCTGGAGTCTTAAATTGAACTTTGTTCAATTTACCAATCTAGTTATTATATCTTTTATTGACAATTTATATCAGTTACATGATACATTAGTCACTAAAACACTACAAACTACTACTACAACTATTCTAACTATAAATAATAATTATTATACAGTGTGATGCACACTATTAAACATATATACTTAAATTTTGAATCCATGGATATATAAATTTTCCAATGTGTAATTGAACAGTTAAGTGTTCAGTAGCCATTAACCTTTTAAAAATATCTGGGTCATCACAATCAAAACTTGGAATAATTTCTTTTAATTTCGAAAACAAACATTCTCTAAGAGTTACATATTTTTTATATCTTATGAGAAAGTGTTCTTCGTCTTCAATAGAATTACATGTTGAACATTTTCTCTGATTTAGAGGTTTAGGGGCAGATTTACGATGCCTCCCAGTCTCAATATACAACTGGTGTGAACTACTGTACTTTTTTTTGTCTAACTTTGAATATGATTCACATTCAAATTAGTTTTATATTCACAATATGTTATAAGTCACGCCTAACCATCGACAACTTACAGTGACAGATATACCGTCATACACTTTAGGTGTACGGTGTCACTATTAACTGATTTGAAGTGAAAAATATGATGTAGGTTTGGTTGTGGTTTTCAAAAATTAATTTGAGGAGTACATAAAGGATTTCATGTTTGATTTCGTGTGTATTCGATTTGGAAGACATTTACCTTTCTAATTATGTTAAAAGACTTTCGAGCAGTGCTCAATTTTTTTCGTTGTTAATCTACCCATGCAATTCTCCCTTTCGCGGTTCGCTTTTTGAATAAGAACGTTTCGCAAATATGTACTGAAAAAGCACTCAAAAAGGACAAAATTTGATTGGTCAATATTTTCCCACTATGCATTTTGCGTAGATATTTGCGTGACCCGAAAGTTCTAAATCTTACTAATTACGCAATTTTGTTTTTACACCCGCACGCTAAATAAAACAATGACACCATCGGTAGTATTCTTCTTTGTCATTGCTTTAATAGTCAATATACCGAGTTTAATCAATAAAAGATTGTGCAATGAACAACAAAATTCGGAAACGAGTACTATAGATTTGCTTTCGGACCACTGAACAGATTGACCTAGATAATAGCAGCGCGTCTTCTTTGGTCTACTGCTCAGTAGTTTGTGGGTTTTCAACATAACTCTATATAGGCCAAGCAAATGGGCTCATAAAAGGCCCAAACATCCCAAAAATTGCAACAGTTTTTAAATTAGTCTTATATTATGTATTAATATCAGTTGAAAAACATATCAAAAATATAGAAAAATGTATGCAGTGGACAAATATGAAATTTCACT